ATAGCAGTTAACTGATATTGTGTTTTCCTTTGGCTCACTGTATGAAGTGGCCAAGTGTGAGTTCTTCAATGCAGGAGGCAGCATTAAAGACAGAATCTCCCTGCGGATGGTGGAGGATGCAGAGAGAGCAGGGATACTCAAACCAGGAGACACCATCATTGAGCCCACTTCTGGGAACACAGGTACGTCTACTTCCTGTTCAGCAGATCAGCGTTGAAGTTTGTGCACAATGAAAAAACACATTTGGTTGCATCAAACCTTCTCATTATTCTTTCTGCAGGTATTGGCCTTGCTCTTATAGCTGCTGTGAAAGGCTACCACTGCATTATTGTTATGCCTGAGAAGATGAGTAAGGAGAAGGTCAGTATTTTCAGATGTTTTTTGTTGTTTTAATTAGCTCAGTGTTTGCCGCTGCTGCAGATGATCATTCCTTGTTTTACAGGTCGATGTGCTGAGAGCTCTTGGAGCAGAAATTGTGCGCACTCCGACATCCGCAGCCTTCGATTCACCGGAGTCTCACATACGCACGGCGTGGCGCCTAAAGGAAGAAATTCCCAACTCACATGTCCTCGACCAGTATCGCAATCCCAGTAACCCCCTGGCTCACTACGACACAACAGCTGAGGAGATACTGGAGCAGTGTGATGGTTTGTGTTTTGCTCATACCTACTTTGTGTTGGTTACAATAGATGAATATGTGTGAGTTAAGATAATGATATGTTCCAGCAGTCCATTTTCACTCCTATTTAACAAAATCAAAACAGACAACGTAAAAACGATTCATATTTCTCAGCCACTTTTATTGCTGCTTTTATGACTTTATCAAATATCTAGGGATTTAGTTTGACTAATGTGCATATTAGACCTTAGAAAACTACTCAGTATCTTAAAATAATTTCACTGATAGTCATAAAGCATTTTATTTATATTAAATTGTAGTTTCAGGGTAATTTAAAAAATATTAACATAAAGAATAAATCTAACGTAACTGGTACAAAAGTCAACAGCTATGTTAGCAGCTTTCTGAGGGAACAATAACTTTAATTTAGCTTAGAAACATTTACTTATCAACCTTTATTTAACCAGGCAAATCCCATTGAGATCACAGATCTCTTTTGCAAGGGAGGCCTGGGCCTAAATGTTTTTGGTCTGTGGGAAGAGCAGAGTACCCAGAGAAAACCCACAAGCACGCGAAGAACATGCAAACTCCACACAAAGACCCCAGGTCCAACCGGGTTTTGAACCCAGGACCTTCTTACTGTGAGGCTGAACAGTGCCAACCACTGAGCCGTCGTGCTGCCAGCATACTAACTAATAGCTATTTGACACCAGAGACAATGCACAAGATTAATGCTCTTGCAAGGTTTTATTGTTAGATGATTGAAAAGATAAATTTCAATAAAATCAAAATCATTTAAGCAATGAGTATGTTTGTCAGAATGTACTGGTACCTAACAGAGATGGAAACTTTTCATTCACACTTTATTTATACAGGTTAATTTCAGTGGGCCTCGGGACGCATTTACAAGAGACCTGATTTTAACAAAAAGTGATGACAACAGTGGACAACAACGACAACAATAGACAATCATAAAGGATGCGTACAAACTGAGAATAACCATTGAAAATAAAATGGTAATTAAAAAAGTCGAACAAAAAAACCCAGCTAGATTATAAGGTGATGTAGAAAACTAAAAACAGGAACATGTCTGCGTTGGTTCTTGCCAGGAAGTTAACAGATGTTTGAAGCCACTTGGAGAGGTCAAGGTCGGGAGCTTCTGATCTTTTTGCAAGATATTCTAGGAAACAGGAGCGGAGTAGGAGAAGACCCTTTTGTTCAGTCCTCACTGAGGGAACACTGCAGGCAATAATGTCCTGAGAGCGCACGCTGTAGCTGCACTCACGCAGAGACATGTAGGAGGAGCTGTATGAAAGCAACTGACCAAGAAGTGATTTAAAGATGAAAATGTACCAGTGAGAGAGTCTGCATGAAGTTAATGATGTCCAGTTAACCAGTGAATACAGGGTGCAGTGATGGGTACGATAATCACAGCCAGTTATGAATCTTAGTGCACCGTGATAGACAGCATCCAACATCTGCAGGGTTCTTGTAGGAGCATTCATGTAAATAATGTCACTGTAATCAATGGAGGGAAGGAAAGTCACAGATACAAGGTCTTTCCTAACATTCAGTGTTAGACAGGATCTGTTTCTGAAAAGGAAACCCAGTTTAACTTTCAGTTTCTTTACAAGGTTTTCCACGTGAAGCTTAAGAGAGATGCGAGTCGACCAAGATACCCAAATATTTGTAGGAATTGACAAACTCAATAGGGACACCATTTGAGGATAAAATCAGAGAAAGAACTGCTGGGACCGACTTCCTGTTTAAAAAAAAGTATCCCTTTGGTTTTGTCGACGTTTAGTACAAGTTTGAAGTGGAACAAATCTGACTGGATGGTGTCCAAAGCAGATTGCAAAAGCTGGAAAGCCTTCTCAACTGTTTTATCTCGACAATAAACAACTGTATCATCAGCATAGAAATGTATGGATGCATCAGGGATGTTTTTACCTACATTATGTATGTAGATTGTAAAGAGGGTGGGTCCTAAGACTGAGCCTTGTGGTACACTATTGTTGACTGTTAAATAACTGGAGGAAGTACCATTATGTTGAACACATTGCCTCCGATCTGAGAGATAATTAGAGAACCAACCAATGGTGTGTTCTGAGAAACTGATTTCTGAGAGTTTATGACACAAGATGTTATGATCCACAGCGTCAAAAGCTTTAGACAGGTCTAAGAAAAGTGCAGCACAATAATCCTTAGCATCCAGTGCTTCAACAACGTCATTAAAAACCTTCAGTGAAGCAGTGGTTGTGCTGTGTTGTTTCCTGAAACCAGATTGATGTGGAGGTAAGATGTTAAATGAGTCCAGGTAATTTTTGATTTGAGTTTATCAGTTTTTCTAGAACCTTGGCTAAAATGCAGAGTTTAGAGATTGGTCGATAGTTGTTCAGTGAGGTGGGGTCACCTCCCTTCAGCAAAGGAAGAACAAAGGCTGTTTTCCAAGTGCCTGGGATGGAGTTTTGTCTTATGGAGAGATTGAAGATGTGGGTCACAGGAACTGTGATGATATGAGCAGCCAGCCTTAAGAAATAAGGTGGAAGTTCATCTGGAAACAGTAGCTTGAGAAGTGTAGGAGGAACATAAGACCCAAGATGAGTAGAAGATATCTTAAGAACATAAACTCCTGAGGCTGCTGGTTCAAATCCAGGTTGAGTCAGGAAGGGACTAGTGTTGTGTTGTTCACAAGCGATTTGTTCAAATGAATGAATCTTTTGAGCGAACGAACTGAACTGAATCACTTTATTAACTCATTCGTTCCTTTCTCAGTTCAGGTGAGCTCAGTTCAAGAGTGCAGGTCAGGAGTGGAACTTCAGCGTTCTGTGACTCACTCATGACGTGAATCTGAATGGTACAGTGGCGTGTGCCAGGCGGGTGGGGAGTTGTTGACGTCTGAGAGAATGTGACTTGTGATTCGTTCACTGCAAATAAACCACACGTATCACTCAGTGAATGAAACACTCTATGACCGTCCTGACTGATTCTAACTGTTTCCTCCTCTGGGGACACGCTCTCATGCCATTGGTAATGGCATCTGTTCTCCAAGCTAACGGCTAATGTTGAGTCAAGCCACATGAAAATGAATGCACACACTCCGTTCCCATTATTGTAACAAAGTTACACATAAAGTAATGAGGAGAGGAGACAGAAGAAGAGCGAGTAAGTCTCACAGCACGGCAAGCTGCAGCCACGACGCAGGGGTGGCTGAGTATGTAGGTTAACCTGTACGAATACACACACACACACACACACACACACACACACACACACACACACACCGTCAGAAAGAAAGTGAGACACTGTGAGTGAAGATAAAAAAAAGTGTTGTCTGGACACAACTGATTTGCCTTTCTGCTTCAGCTGCAATGTTTATGTATTTTATTTTACTTTTTACAATGATTGGTCAGCTCAGCAATTTTTATTTTTATTTTTCCTATAGACCAGATGCTCTGTGTCTTAATAAAGTCTTAATTCTAATTGTTGGAGAAAAATATTCTCGCTTCATCTTACTTACTCAAAAGGAGCCACACTCGACAGCAGGAAAATATTTTTAACTGGTATTTCACTTGCAAGGTCAGATTTTCAGGACAGGTTAGGCAGTACACATGAAGACCAGTCATGAGAATCTGCCACAAGCTGTTCAACCTTTATTTATACTGGTTAATCCCATTGAGCCTCTGGGACTCATTTACAAGAGAGACCTGGAAAGCAGTGTGTGAAGCTTGTTTTTATACACTTATCAGTTCAGCCGAGCTCACAGACTCAGGTGTCCTTGAAGCGACAGCTGCACGCTGCAGCCTCACCCAGCTCCTCATCCACCTCTTTCTGCCAACCCAAACATATGGTTCACACGCAGAGTTAATATTGGATAAAAACATCCGTAAACTTTGACCAAAAATTCCCTAATATTTATGGATGTTTATTACATTATCAATATAAACCTTACAAGCAGGGATGCTTTATGCATGTGATGCAAACCCCCCTTAAGACAAAACAGTTTAACCAAGGAGGAAACATCACTTCGCCTCAATGCCTCTTTGACGACGACCTTACGGTGCATTTAAGCATCTCTCCCAGTCTGGGTCAGGTTAAAATAAAACAAAAACAATAAGGGGTAAATCATAACCACATAAAAACAACAACAAAAAAACTGATCTAAGTAAAACTTGAAGAGAGGAAAAAGGCAAAGAAAACCCATACAAATAAAGTCTTAAAGCTTTCCTCAGAAGACCTTTCTCTCTTTACTGTAAATTGCCAGGAAACTCTTCAGAGGATTAAGAAATAATAAAAATAACAAAAATAAAACTGAAAAGCATCGTACACCCCCATTTACATCCACATCTCAGTCCTATAGTTTGGTCAGCTCAGCAATTATTATTTCAATCTTTCCTATAGACCAGATGCTCTGTGTCCTCCATAGAGTCTTAAAAATAATAATCATCATAAAAGAAAGAGGACTCGCGTTTGCGTTACGTGAACGTGCTGCTCGCTGCTGTAGTGTTGTTACTTGCGAACGTAGAACACAGAGAGGGGAGTCTGTCAGAGAGGACAGGGGAGTCGATTTACACATGAGAGAACTGGTGAGAGACCAGTGGCTTTGTATCATTCACTCACATACTGCACAAACTGAATGAACTGAAAGAATCAGTGAACAAATCTTTTGAACAAATCATTTTAATGAACTGATTTTAGGGATTCAGTATGCTCAAAAGACCTGCCGTTCTCATCAGCCTTTGCTTGCTGTGATGAGCCCCGAGCGTCTGAAAAAACAACATAAAAACTTAAAATCATCCAACTCTGGAAAGACATTAAAGAGAAATGTCCAAATTTAAACGTCTAAATGTAAATCTATCTTATTAATGAGAAAAGTCATATTAAAGAGAAATAAATAGTCTTTATGAAGAGTATGAAATATGAGCCTGCTTCCTGACAACAACTAAAATCATCTTATTTATTACTTAATTTTACTCTGATTAAGTAGATTATGGACATAATAAAACATAAAAGTAGGTAACTTAAAAAGTGAAAGAGTCTGTAGTCTGGGTTTGTGTTCTGTTTATTTCATTTCAATGTAATAAAAATAAACAAATTAAAAGGTAACTGATTATTGTAAACTTTAGTTTATTTACAAAATAATTTTAATCGCTGGATGTCCGGCCCCCGAGCTGCTGGCTTTCAGAAACTGTGACTTAATTCAGTTTTCAATAAATATATATATTTTTCGTTTAGGTAAATTGGATATGTTTGTGGCTGGAGCAGGCACAGGTGGTACGCTCACAGGTGTGGCTCGGAAGCTGAAGGAGAAATGCCCCAATGCCAAGGCAAGACATGTAACTCCCAGAGCCTTATAACATTTTATGTTTTCATTATCTTCTTCTTCCAACACCCCACACAACAAATAAACCACATAATGAAGTCATGTAGAGTTCTGTTTTCTTACAAATGATGACAGTGTCCACACGCAGCCTTTTTAAACCTTTATGCTGCAATGCTTTCTTTATTTGTAGATAGTTGGTGTTGACCCCGAGGGCTCTGTCCTGGTACATTCAGAAGAAAACACAGAAGAAAACAACAAAAATTCTCATTTTGAAGTTGAGGGTATTGGATATGACTTCATCCCCACAGTACTGGACAAATCTGTGAGTATTATTGTGCATGTAGATATTTGTAGTTTACACTATAGACTACAGCTGTGGTATCCTTAATTTTGTTAAAACCTGTGCAGGTTGTGGACATGTGGTACAAATCTTCTGACAGAGAAACATTTAACATGGCGCGCAAACTTATAAAAGAAGAAGGCCTTCTCTGTGGTAAGTTCACCCCTTTGACCAAGTCAAGCTGTTCATTTTTCTCAGGCCTTCTGTGCGAGTTTTCTCTAAATACGTTCGGATTGATTCGCTTGTTTCGCTTCAGGTGGGAGCTCTGGCTCAGTGGTGTCAGCAGCAATGAAGATGGCTCAGCAGCTGGAGGAGGGTCAACGCTGTGTGGTAATCCTGGCCGACTCTGTCCGCAACTACATGTGAGAAACAAATAAGATAAAAATGAACAGTAGGATGAGTAAGTCTAAGTCTAAACGTGTAAAAAAATATAAAAATGATAAATCAAAGTTCCTGTTTGTAACATTTAGAGAACACTTGGCAGCAGATGCTTAAAAAAAAAAAAAAAGCATGCATTTCCACAACTATGCCACTAGATGTCACTGAATTCTCAGGGTAGATTTAAAAAAATATATAGAGTATTTTTAAAATTTTAGCAACCAATAATATTTTATCCATTTTCAGTGCACAAAAATAGACATGAGCTGATTATGTTTAGTTTTCATACAGTTTATTTTACTCACTTTTAACTTGGACTACGGGTTTAATATTTCTAAGCACAAAGGAAAGTTCAGGGTAACAAGATTCCCGTTAGTTTGATGGGTCTGTGGCGGAAACAAAGTAAAAAAAAAATACATTGATTGAAGTTGTTCCATTTTATTTTGAGAAACGCATCACCTGCACAAGATCCCATGTGTGTAAAACACACACACACGAGACCATCAGTATGAAAACCATGCAGCCTCTTTTGGTGATCAAACTCTTTGCTGCTTTTTACCTCCAGGTCCAAGTTCCTGAGTGATCAGTGGATGCAGGAGAAGGGCTTCCTCAGCATGGAGCCTCCGAACGGTATCAAACCATGGTACAAACAAATATGCTGGTGTCGATTCTCAGTCCTCCAGGACATGCTGCATCCCAACAACACAACTGGGCTTGTATTCTGTAGCTGAAGACAGTTTTCTTCCCATCCTAGGACCTGTCCTAATTAAAAATCTGCAGACTGTGGAGTTCAAAGCTTTTAAACTGCGGGAGATTCTCCATCCTGTAAGCTAGATTCACGTTCACATTAAACTCATCTCCCTCTCCATGGAAAGACACAAAAATATTGTCATATTTGATGTTGCTGAAGTACCTGAAAAGGGCAGGACTTTTCAAAATGTCTTCAACTACAGAATAGAAATCCTGTTTTCTTCATATAGAAACAAGTAAATAAACAAAAAAGTAAATACATTTTCAGCGTTGGACGTTAAAGCATTTTTCTTTAAGGTGGTGGGACCTGACTGTCCAGAGTTTACACCTGCCCTCCCCCTTCACTCTCTCACCAACTCTGTCCTACAAGAAAACCATTGAGATCCTGAGAGAAAAAGCGTTTGACCAGGCTCCAGTCATCGACGAGTCAGGGTACGTCTTCAGTAAAATGATAAAAACTGCATGTTTTAAATATATATATTTTTTTCATAACTTCCACCAAGTATAAAACCCTCCAGGTTTTAAATGTGGCTGACATGGCCACTCTGATTGGGATTTGCTGATTTGTGTGATTCTTCAGTGAGATTCTGGGGATGGTGACTCGGGAAACCATTCTGTCCAATGTTATGTCTGGGAAGGTCAAACTGTCAGATCCTGTCAGCAACATGCTCTGCAAAAACTTCCAGCAGGTCGGTCACAACATGCGTGGCTACATTGATGGCAAACATGTAACTACAAACAAATGCTCCTTTTAAATCTTCACATATGTTTCCAGGTGCATCTGACGGACAACCTGGCGAAGTTATCCTGCATGCTCAAATCACAAAGCTTCGTCCTGGTGATGCACGATCACACTCAGTGTAAGAAATTATTATTTTTTATTGATAAATAATTTTCAGACACTGTTTTATTAACATTTGCAATAAAAAGAATCAAGGAAGGGAATGAAAGGTTACGAACAATTAATATCTTACCTGTTGTAGATAGCTCTCAGTTTGGAGAACTAAGACTTACTGTATTTGTCATTGTATAAGTTGCGTTGTTTTTTGTTGCATAATTTGCATGCCCTGCAACTTATAGGCCAAAGCGACAGATTTATGGATTCCCCCCCCCCCATATTTATAAACCATTTTTTTGGCTGAGATATGACCGTTTTCATTCATTTTGACAGAAAAAAATTTGAGCAGTACCACTTTCAGCCACTTGATGGAAGCAGAGTAATAATAGCTTTATGGCATGCTGTTGTATCATGTAATAGGTAAACGTGGCTATAATGACAAATTCAAAAAAGTTCAAGACAAAAACAAATGGACTTCATTTATTGTACTTTATACTTGCTTGTTTTTTTCTTGAATATTTTTGAATTTACCATGTCCTGGATGACTGAGAATCTTCACCAGCTATTAATGACTCAATCGGCTTGCCATATCCTCCCCACCTTCATTCTGCTTGCTGCTTGGAACCGTCAAACCAGCTGCACCGCCCCAGCGAAATGCAGCTAATTTGACCATTAAAGTGCATTTATTAAGCAAATGTTGGACTGAGACACACCTTTGCTATAATTTCGAGCAAACAAATAATTGTTTTGGTGTTTATCTTGTTAGATTTTGTACAACGACTCGTCGCACGCACGCGTTTACTTCCGCGTATCGGTTTTTGAAATGCAGCTGATTTGATTGTCAAAGTGCATTCATTAAGCAAACGTTAGACTGAGACACACATTTACTATCATTTCTAGCAAACAAATAATTGTTTTTAAGTGTTAATCTTGTTAAATTCTTGTTAAAGTCCTCCCGTGCACGCTCCCGCGGCTGCCATTTGGCAGCCCATCGATTTTTGGCACAACACCGGTCCACATTTCTGGGTTGTCAGCGGTGACGCGTAACAAGCGCAACACATCAACAGTGATGCATAATAGATGCGACATATACGGCAAAGCGACATATTTATGGATTTTTCCACTTTATTAGACAAATATGGACTGATGCGACTTATTGGGCGGAGCGACTTGTATGGCGGAAAATACGGTAATAAATCTGAGGAGAGCCAAGACTAAAGTGTATTGCTGCTGTCTTAAAAATAATTTACTTTGAATGCTTTGGCTGTTTGCAAGGGGCACATCCTGTGCTTTCTGGGGAACTTCCTACAGGAATACTGAAGTATATCTGCCGGAATAACCCCAACATAATTAATTTTAGCCACAATGAAGCCTGATCACAACCAGCTGAACTATTATTGATGTGTTTCTACTCATTACTGGGTGGCCAGCCGCATTACTTTTAAAAGTTATCAATGAGTAGAGAGTCAGAAAACCTCTAGTCTTTACTCATTTATTTCAGCAGACATTAAACAATCCTCTCATTAATACAAATAATAATAATTATAACAGTTTATTACTCTTTTATGCATCTCTTCTAGCTTTGTCCAGCAGGAGATGCTCTTACTCTTTCTACAAGTTTAGAGGGAGCTCAACCAGCAAATCAGAGTCACAGTAATGTACTATGAATTCACAATTGCAACTCAAAACAACCGTATGGTAATACTGTATTGATAATGATATTAACATATCAAACTATTTTCTGGTCTTCACGCTGACCAACTGTTACGATCTGCAGTCGACTCCCTTTTCTTTCAAACTGTGGATAAATAAATCCAAATTACTGGGAAAAAAGATGAGAAATATAATCTGAAGTTGCATTCATGTAGCCACTAGTTTTTTTTCTAATCTCAGCCAAAACCACTTTTAAATTAATCATGAAAGTCATTTTTGAAAGTCATTTTATTCGTATTTATGCGCTCGTGGGAAGACATTAATGATATGACGTTGACCGTCTCTGTCAGTCCGTCTGTGTGTTGAGCTTTAAATTAATAACCCTTTAACATAAAAATGTCCAACTGCACAGCTGGACATCTCATGGGGTCACGATTGATCATATCGATTTGAAGGTCATGGGGTAAAAGGTCAAGGTCACAGGTGACCCGTTTATTAAAACCTAGCTTAAGCCATCTTGACATCCCAGAAACACAGAAATGTCAAAGTGTTTGTTCCCTCAGTTGTGCCCGTCTGTCCATCCACAAGATAATCCACACTGAGTTGTCCATGGTGTAACTTTACAAATGTTATGATGTCATCAGATTGTGGGTTTATATTGGATCATATATTTATTAAGACCACTTCCACTAAATTAAATCTTGAGTGAAACTCGGGAAATCTACTCTGATTATAAAATGGTCTGGATAGCCTGGTCGTCATCAACAGGTAAGTTCTTCACATTACAACTCAACTGCCCTTTGCTCTTTCTTACATATTCATTGAACAGTGTGTCAATTTGCATCATAAACAGCATCTTTATCAATGAACAGGACTTTTCACTCCACCACAATCAGGATAGACACAACATAGACACATATATTCAGGATTGTTGTGAGAGGGATTTCAAGCTTTGGATTTTGATTGCTCTTAACAATTTACTGACGGGCGCATTATATATATATGAGGGTACAGTAGTCCCTCGCTTATCACGGGGGATCGGCGATCTTCGGATCACAGACCCACCTCTCTAGCCTCTGTGCTACCACTCCCCCATGTATATGTGTATAAATATGTATATAAAGGTGTTTTAAACCCTTCCCACATTCTTGCAATATTCTAAACATCCATCCATTATCTTTACCTGTTTATTCCATTTTGGGTCACGGGGGTCGCTGGTGTCCATGTCCAGCAATCACTGTGCGAGGGGCGGGGTACACCCTGGACAGGTCACAAGTCCATCACAGGGACACACAGAGACAAACGAGACAAACAAACATTCACTCTCTCACTCACACATAGGGACAATTTAGAGTTACCAATCAGCCTAACATGCATGTTTTTGGTCTGTGGGAGGAAACTGGAGTACCCGGAGAAAACCCACGCATGCACGGAGAGAACATGCAAACTCCACCGCCCCTGGACCGGGGTTTGAACCAGGGACCTGTTCGCTGAGAGGCAGCAGCTCTACCAGTTGCGCCACCGTGCTGCACATATTCTAAACAATGTTTCAAAACGCTCTAAAAGAGCACAGCATGTCATGATTTGAGCTCTCTACCTTCGCTGCTCTCTGCCAGCACTCTTGGCCACGCCCACTTCTCTGCTGCAGAGTGGAGATATGAGGAGGGAGCATCTCTGCAGCTGTGGGCTGCACACAGACCTGTGCACCTGTGCAGCAGGTGCTAAATAATTTACAATGATTTATTTTAAATAAAAAACCCATGCCAATCGTGCGGCTCATCCATCAATCAGCCAGTTGTGTGTCATGTCCAGTCTTCCTTTGAAAAACCGCGATAGAGCGAGTCTGCGAAAAACGAGCCGCGAAGTAGCGAGGGACTATTTTTTTATATTCTTATTTTAAAAGATTGCATACATAGTTGGTTTTTCCAAACATGTCAAAACCTTTCTTCTGTTTTCAAAACTAAATGTGGCGGCACAGTGGTGCGGTTGGTAGAGCTGCCACCTCTCAGCAAAAAGGTCACCAGACTGAAATGGAAGAAGTGTGTAAAGATGATGGATGGACGGAAAACTAAATGTTAGTTTTGTGTGTTTTTGTCCAGATGAAGGTGATGGATCAGCCTGTGAGAGGCAGATGGTTTTTGGTGTTGTGACAGCGATCGACCTCCTTAACTTCATCGCTGCACACGAGGAGCAGCATCGTTCACCGTCTTAAGGCTCTCTGTCCAACGGGGAGTCTCTGGAAATATGTCCCGTTTAGGACATTAAACAACACACCTGCTCAGCTTGAACTTGTCTGGTTTTAATAAGTCTTATGAGAAAACAGAAACTGTAGCATGATGCACATGAGTTCTTTTTTATGCAACATTTCACACATTAGAGTGCAGCAGCAGTATATTTAGTGTGTTTGCTCTTTTAAAATGAACCTTTATGTTCGAAAATTGTTTTTACACAAAGTGTCTTGAGCAGAGAAAAGCTAGCAAACTAATGGTTTAGTTGTTTGGGGATTTTATCAATAAGAGCAATAGAAAGATCATCACTTTTGTAGTTTATGACTAATGCTGATTTATCTTTCTGTTTATACTTTGGTTCTGATTCTTTGACAAACTTTTTCCAACAAGCTTGTTATAACTGGACCTAAGTGTCAGACGCTAATAGGTTTTATGAAACTTTTCTAGACCTTTCATGACTTTAACTCCTGCCTGATGAGTGCAATGATTTGTTTGTTTTATATTTGTAGATGATCTTTAAGACCTGACATTTTTAAAGACTACCAAGAGGACGTTTAAATCATTTATGTGGTAGAAAATATGCGAAAGATAAACTTTGTCTCTGAACTAACGGTGATGTTATTCATATTCAATGTAACTTTTTTGAAACAATATTTTAGAGAAAATAAATTTTCAGCATTAAATAAACTGCCTTACAGCTTTGGTCTTGTTTTGGTTATTTTTTTAATTGTTGCATTCTGTTTTCAGGATTTTGTTTTGTCCATAAATATTTCCCTTCTATGCAGATAGCTAAATGCCCCAACCTTGAGGTTTAAAATAGTAAAAGAGTTAACGTAATAATGTTAAACATGTAGGAAGTGTTTGGGATTTGTTGTCTCTTAACAGAGGCAAGACATCTGGATTTAATGCCACATTCACTATGAGCATGAGCATGCATCAGGATTATGCCATTTTAGGTTATTGTTTCTTATAACCTCATTTTAAAATGGTTATACACAACATTTAAATCTACTTTAATACTGATATGTGAATGAAGTGAGCTACAGCCCTAAAGTTCCATAGTTTTACAGTTTTTGTTCAACAGCTAAGATGTTAAGAAGCGCTGATCCAGTTCAGCTAAAGTCTTATTACTGCCTGTCCTGCATTTGAGTCATTTAACTGCCACCTGTCTCAAACCAAGACAAGGACAGTCTAAAAATCTAATGCAAAATGTGAATTAACATAGCAAAAACTTAAATAAAGAAAACTTGTGTTGGATTATTTTATTGTTGTAACTATGCTTCTTGTCAATAAATTATATAATGTTGGAGTCAAGTTAGGCGTGTTAGGTTTCCAGTATGACCAACACAACCAACTAACTTACAACCAACGCAGGTTGAAAAATTGTTATTATCATTATTATTATTAGACCTTTATTTATACAGGTTAGTTCCCACTGAGCCTCAAAGACTCATTTACAAGAGAAACATGATTACATACAACACATAGGCATATGAGAAAAAGAGAACACGAGGATGGAGGAAGCCCAAAAAAAAAAAAGTCTCACACCATGTCCTGGCTGGGAAACCGTGAAAGATGCAACAAAAGACCTTGCAATATAAAGCAATGACATCATAATGCATTTAGGCGTGGAGGTCGACAAACCAGTGAGTTATTCATAGACACTCCAGAAAGTTCCAAAGTTCTGATAAGATGGTACAGTGTCTATCAGCATCATGGTTCTGATAAGGCCACAGATGGGGGCAGGCAGAGCTTTTAGTTACGTATCCTCCAGGAGCAATTTGAGATAAGTCGGCCTGTCCAAGGCCAGCGGGGAGGCCAAATTCAGATAAACTACAATTGTTTGGGCCGCCAGACTCTGCTTTCTGTCTGTCTTCAAGTTCTGCTGGTACAACTCAATGGCAAATCCAAACAGCCAGAATTAGTGGACATTCCTCCTGGTCCGTGCTCAATTTAGCATTCTTCAAGATTGAATCCTTCATGCTGGTGAGTTCCAGGAGCTGCAAGTGGTCTACGATTCTTAGAAATCACGTCCAGCTTGTGACTGAGCTCGGTAAGCATGAGTTTGAGAGCTCGAGAAACAGATTGGTCCTTCACATAAGGCTGGCAGCTTTACCACGTCTGAAACTGCTGCCGACGTCTTCCTAATTTGTTGATATTCAAGATATCCACAGGGTCCAAAAAGCAGAAACGCTGTTATCATAAATCCAACAATGTACGCATCTTCTACGTCTTCTATGGACAAAACCTATAGGCATACCATCTTCCACTTATTCCAGGGATCAATGATATATCCAGCTGCGAGGGTCCATTCAGGGCATGAGGGCTCTCCAGCACCTTGTCGCCTGGTGGAAAATTTTTTATCACTTGCGTTAAGGGACCAGCTGACCCAATCCATGATAATTTCTGATTCAGAAGATGTGTTAAGAGAAGCTCTGATGTTGAGAGCAGAAAAGCAGGCGGGAGGGAGGGTAAGAGCGACCGTCTTTGTCGAAGGCGAAAGAGAGAATGGAAAAATCGGATGCCATCCCACAGCAGTGTATGACCAAGCTGGTGAGCAGCATGAGAAAGGGGGGGGGGGGCAAGTTGTTGTGCTGTGTAGGGTTCTTCCACATGCCATTTAGCCCCCGCTTGTTAAATGAATACATTTTCGAATTGTCAATATGTCTTGTTTCTTCAGACTTCAATCATCAAATCTAATAAACACCAAACAAGAGTCAAAAACCGAATCAGCTGTTTGGCATTGGCAGAAAATATTTGCCAAGACGCAGCCCACAAACTCTGCTGCTCAACTCACAAACGCATCGTTACGGTGGCCGACAGGTGCAAACGTGCAGCAAACGGCGAAACGCGCAACAAACACATATATGATGCAAACTCAAAAACACGCAAACACAAAAAACAAACTAACACACAAAAAAATCAAATGCAAACACAAACAAAAAACGCACGCAAACACAAAAAAACACGCAAACACAAGAAAGATGCAAACACAAACAACAAATGCAAACACACAAAAATAAAAGGCAAACTAAAATAAACACGCATGCAAACACAAAAAATAAAACGCAAACTAAAATAAACACGCATGCAAACACAAAAAATAAAACGCAAACTAAAATAAACACGCATGCAAACACAAATAACACAAACAGAAAAACGCTGCAAACAGTGGAAGACACGCAAACTCCTCCACAAAAACGGAAGTGCTCCAGACCACTAGGGGCAGTCGAACACAGAACAAATCATAAAATAAACTTGGAGGAAGAAAGATGTTTTCCGACCGCAAATAAATCTCACAAGAAGAAGAGGAAGAAAGAAAAGGTTTGTTTATACTTTATTCATTCAAACACGCAGTCTTTTACAATAGACCCTTTTCACATGACGTCAGACAACTTACGTTCTGACTCGATGTTGATCAACACTTCCGGGTCTATTCTCCCTCGGGAGACCTGTCTGCAAACTTCACGAAATTTCATTCATTCAACCTTTATTTATAGAGATTAAATTACAAGATATAGCGCAAGGTAAGGTTAATAAAAACAGTATTTATGTGTTTGTTAGCTGTGGTAACATTATCCATCATTATCAATTTACCATTCTGTAACTGTGTAAGGAAACAGCCTCCAATTGTAAAGTAAGCTAGCAGCTAACAGGTAGCTAAAATATACACTGCTGCTGCCTGTCAGTGCTGTAACATTAAAATGTTTACTTTATCTATTAATGTATGCATGTTTTTTTTAGTTTGCGTTTTATTTTTTTTGTATTTGCATTTGTTGTTTGTGTTTGCATCTTTCTTGTGTTTGCGTTTTTTGTTTGTGTTTGCATTTGATTTTTTTGTGTGTTTGTTTGTTTTTTGTGTTTGCATTTTGTTTGTGTTTGCGTGTTTTTGAGTTTGCATCATATATGTGTTTGTTGCGCGTTTCGCCGTTTGCTGCGCGTTTGCACCTGTCGGCCACCGTACATTGTCTTTACAAACGTGGCACCATCTGAGGGGAAGTAAACAGGCTTTCCAAGAGTTAACTATTTATTGACAAAAACATTGTTACTAAGAAATAATCAACCAAACAAATTTCTGTACCCTTTGAGCTAATTTTTGTTGCAATAAACACGCCAGCCAGCAAACAGGTGCTAAGTGACACAAAAGGATCATAGTTGGATATAAATGGACTAATTTACATGGAAATGATAAATAAATAAATACACGAACAGAAAACGTTCAAACAACTACCTTCAGGGCCATGATATTTGTGTCCAATGCTTTATAGTCCAATTCTTTTTCACACTGCTGAATCATTCTAAACACAACATCCATGTCAAGAAAGAATAGGTGAAATAACAGAATCACAATTTGTGATGCATTTGAAAGGATCTGTGTCATCATCACACTATCTTCCTGATCAAGAACCGTGTCATCCAGCTCAGATGTCACTGAATGCTGACTTCACATGGAGTAAGTAAACTGTAAACACTGACTCCGTTATTCAGCAGGGCCGCTCTGCTGAGACACAGCTAGTCACAGCAAAAACCGTGCAACGCTGCAAACAACAGACGTCACCTCATGCATCACGTCACGTCGCTCTGTCCCTGACGGTCGCATCACAGAATCGTCCTTTCTGCCATCAGAAGCAGACAGGAGCATCATCCTGCGTCTCTTTGCGTCACAACTCTGTAGTTTGAATTGATAACATTAAACTCTATAGATGCTGTGCCTCCTGCTGCCATACTTTATATTTAAGCTTATAAAAATCCTTTTATACCCTCTCACATCTTTCTAAAGTCACCTGGCATGGTTTCTTCTTCATTTAGATTACATCAAAATCTGTAATGTTTATCAACTCATATACTACAGAGTTGTACTCAAAATATCACACATTTTTAGAATTTCGAGTCCTTTGTTCACATAAATATGCATTATTCATGTAACTAAGCTTACTTTTGCTTCTTATCATAATAATCTTCAGCTTGCTCAGCTTTACTGCATGAGGACAGATACAGGAGGTCACTCTCTGCTTACTGTTCTCTATAATGATGTTTGTACGGGCGGCTGTGGCTGAGTGCTTAGAGCAGTCGTCCTCCAATGCAAGAGTTGGGGGTTCGATTCCACCAGCAGCCACATGCCAAAGTGTCCCTGGGCAAGACACTGAACCCTTCATTGCCTCCAATGTGTGTCCCACCGGTGTATGAATGTGATAAAGCACTGATTAGTCTCTTTAGAATGATTTGTTCAATTAGCTTTGTAGAGATCTAGTAGAGTGCTGCAAGAATGG